TGATTGAAAGGGGGTTGGTGAGCAATTCTGTCAGCTCCCTCAGTCCCCTTGTGTGGATCCCATCCAGCCCCATAGACCTGTGTGTGTCTAAGTGGTGTAGCAGGTCGCTAACCATTTCCCCTTGGATTATGGGGGCTTCGTTCTGTTCCCCATCCCTGTCTTCCAGCTCAGGGGAATGTGTACCATTCTTAACAGTTGAAAACAAAGTTGAAAAAACCAAGAGAGCATTGGATTAAAATTCAGCGAGGCAGGGTGTGACCAGTTTAAATGGAGCAGATCTTAATGAGAAAATACATATACTATTACTTGAGTGTTTTGCAAAAGTTTCTCTTACCATACAATCCCATTTTCATAGACAACTTCTCCAAATGGTATGGGAGATCCTCTGTAGTAGCAGGGGCATTCATTAGGAGGCACACATTTGCCACTGTCATCCAGGTAGGTTCCATTTAAGCAGGTACAGCCATCAACTGGGCCAAACTTAATGTTGCATGTGACATCAGGCTCACTCAGAGACCGACAAGTGGGTTGACAGGAAGAAATGGTATAGCTGTAGCTTAGGGATTTGGGACATGAAGTAGTGTGTTTCGCTTGAGAGAAGAAAATAGAGTAAGTTTGTTAATCCCAGAAGGTAATTTCTTGTGGGCGAAAAAGAAAACATAGGCAGTAGAAATAACATGTAAACAATACTGTACACCTCTGCCTTCATTGCATCTTTCATGTAAATATGTTTCTGAATACTTCCAAAGTTAGTAGAACAAGTGATGTATGCAAAGAAGAAAATATTTTTCCAAATGAAACTTTGGAAAGAAAACTCATTTTGGTGCTGCCATTCATTGGCAAGACTTCCAAACCTTTTTAAGTGCGAGACAAGATGTCTCCCTGAATGTCTCCTGGTATGCTCAAAATAGACCTACTGGATCGGTGCAACCCAGTATGCAGCTTCAGAGACCTTTCATTTGCAAGTATTCTGGTTAGTATTACTAGTAGTCTTATTCTAATATGTCGCAATTTCTCTACAATAAGTTGCGATACATAAAGCTGTAGTGAAATTCAAAGTTGCACAGAAACAGGTGGAGGTACTTCCATAACGGCGGTCTCTTTCCTAAGAAAGCTATGTCTTCCACCTTTTCATATTCACTCTTGCTAGCAATGGATTGATTCTAAGGGAGGAGCAGAGAATTACTTCCAGGAGTGCACTTAACAAAATCCCTTCCTCAACACTTACTATATTTGCCTAGAAATCAGTATAAAATAATCTCTGGTCAGCAGTTTTTATTGATGTGTGTTCTTAGGAAATGGGATAGTTAAGGGTACGTACTGCAGATATCAGTCCTCCATCCATGCAGCTGGATTCCTTTTGCAGCACAAGCTCTCACATAGGAATACAGGGCTGCACACAAGCAGTCCTCACTATTTTCACAGTCACATGTGTCAAACATGCAGTTCTAAGATTGCAGAGAAAAATAAAGTCTCAGTGCTGGTAATATCATCAGTCTAATGAAAATGAACGTTATCTTTCTGGTCTTATGCACTAATCCTTCTTCAGATATGCTCACTCATAGACAACACTACATAGCTTTATCACTTTCCAGTGTTTGTGTGAGTTTCCTGGCAGGGGAGAATGAAGGTAATGGAAGCTCAGTCGATGTCTGCGGTTGTTACTGGGAAACAGTGGTCTTAAAGTGTGTTACACATTTAACAGCTTCATGTTCCTCTGAACCATATTTACAAATATGCTGCACAATCGCATGCAAAGCTCTATTCACAGCACACAGTCTAGACGCGTCAATTCACCAGTGTCCATACCTGGGTGATTCATAGTGAGAAGAAAGATTGGTAACACACTGATAGCAGAATAATGATAATTAGCTAATGGGCTTTCTGTGCCAAGTGGTTATTATTGAGATATGAGGCTGATGAGACAACAATTCACTGATACTCAAACAAACATTTGACATGCCTTTACATACACTTCCTACTATATACGTACATCCATACCGGAATAAATAGCTGCCTTTTCATTTGTGAGCAAGTCAGGATCTTGAAGCCAAGACTGACAACTGAAATAAGGTAATGTTACAATACACACACAAACGCATGTTGGAAGAAGGAAGTGCTGCAGTACAGAGATGAAAATACAAGCATTGTGTAAGACAGAAGACATGCCTGAACAGTCCTATTCTGGTAGCTAGCTGTAATGATCCTACTTCTATTGTTTATAAAGGGAAAAACAGTCTGACAAAGTACCGTGTGGTAAACAGAGGGATCCACTGCATAGTGACAGTTAGCGAAAGGGCCTTTGCTGTCAGTTAGTAGTCCACACCAATGCTGAGCATATTTTTCTGTGAAGAGAACAAATGATACAAATGCACATTACTCTTTGTGTTTCATTAGTCACAAAACCACACTGCCCTGGTCTATGAAGCCACTTCTGAAGTTACATCAAATCTCTCCTTCTCCTGTCTTTTTTTTTTTTTACTCAACTTGTGGCTAAGGTTCCTAAAACTAAAGAAGACAACTTGCTGAAGGGATGAATAAAAGATTTCCAAAGATACTCCTGCAATCCACTCCTCTGACACCACGTTGTCAGCTTAGACATCCTCTCTGTTTTCAGTGACCATACAGTTTCCTTCAGTTATGTTTCTGTGACTCTTCCTTTACTTTGTTACTTATCCCTAGTGCTTATATTTTGAATATTTGTTTCTGATTTCAGATGTATATGTTTACCAACTATATAAGTCTTTACTCTCTTATCTTTGCTTTCCAATGGAAGTGTTTTCCTTAGGGATGAGCAAAAAAAAACCTAGAAAAAACGCTAAGAAGCACGCACCATTATCAATGCTGAGTGTACAAGGGTTCTCAAAACTCTGCTTGATATCAGTGCATGCAGCCTGGGCTTGCCACACCTTCGCAAATGCTGTTGCTGTTCCTTCAGTTATGCCACTTTCGGTCCTGAAGTCATCAGTTCCCTTATCATTGAAATTTCCACAGAGACCTGTTGAAAATCAGTGAAAAGTTTCTAATACTCATAGTAGACAAAAGACATCAAGCAAGATGTTTTCATGTTTCATTCACTTACCACAGGTCTGGTTTTTGAAAATAGGATCCAGATGCACAAATACTTGCATGATGGGTGTGATTTGAATTTCAAGTTGGACACCAAAATTTGTCTGTATGATGATGAAGAATGATGAAGGTCTGAACACAATGGCATTAGCTACAGATGAAAACCAGAATGATTACTTTCTGAATGCAGTGCATCATTATACTATTCTTCTTGAGTTTCTATCGCAATTGTTGCAAATTCTGAAGTGAAATAAAACCAATCTTTATGAAAATGAATCACAAATATAAATCAAAAGTTACAGTTCAGAATTTGCTGTAGCTACCAAGTTGTTAACTTTATTTGCTGTCTGAACATTAAACAGCTGAAGATTATGCCTTCCAAGAGAATAAGAAGGTAAAACTGTATGGCACTGAGCATTAAAAAGAATAATTCTATTTTTGTTTCTAAGCTTGTACAGCATACGTTGGAATCATCACTCTGCTGGAGAGGGAAGCTAAGCAAATCTGGAGGTCAGAGATATCACATAGACTCATTAGTTATTGAGAGAGAACAAAAATCAAATTTCTGTCTGAGAAAGTGTGAGCACAGGGGTGGTAAGCTTAAGAAAAAAAAAGTAGAGATAGAACAGGCAAACAGATGTCTTCTGTGTTCAGTTTTGGGCAGTGAGAAGGAAGTAAACCTTACAGTGATCAAATCAGGAGAGTGTAAATGGTGTTGCTTCTGTTTGAACTCTTGCCTATGCTTGTACTCTCTTCCATTTCTTTATGACACCAAACTTCCCACTTCTACTTCCAAAGCACTTGTGTGACTCAGGAAATATCCCAAAGACAACCAAGGTGTGAACATTCAGGTTCTGAACAACTCACATTCCTTTTACCTTCCATAGTTTAAGAAAATAAGCAGATGTGGAGTTGAAGTTCTGAGCTTATTGCTCATGGACTGTTAGAGAAAAAAGTACCTGCTGAGAAGGGCAGTTGGGTGTGGATCTTGTTCACAAGCACATCACCATCATGTTTGACCTCGATTAGCTGATAAGGAAGAGGAACAAGAGGAAACTGCATGAAGGATAACTGTAGTCCAAAGACTAATAATGGTGGTGACTTGAGTGATATTAATTAAAAAAATATTAAATAAAAAGGCTATTTTTTTGTGATTTCACCTCTTCTCTCTTTTCACTTTGTACACTTTACTAATTTTTTCTGCCATAAAAGAATTATTTTTAAAGATACTTTCTCAGCTCCCTAGGGAATTACATCAAACTGGTTTCTTTGAACACATCTTTGTGATGAATTACCTCCCTTACTGTTGTAGTTTCTAACCTAAAAGCTCATGGGTTTTTTCCATCTAATTGGCAGAGAAAATACTTTTTTCTGCTTTCTGACTACAACGCTTATCTTAATGAACTTCCACAAAGCTAATTTTACAGCTGATCTGATTTTCATAACAAAATCTATTTTTTTTTTCACTTCATTAAAAAACATATGCTGACCATTTGAGAGAGAAATGCTGTTCCCTGACTAAGGCCTAGCTTCTTTGATCCCTGTATTTTTAATAGTAATTTCCCATGCTTATTTTGCATTCTTACAGTTTTTCCTGTAGTCATGTTGAGGGTCACTGTCCTTAAGCACGTCTTAGAGTCTCTTAGGCCACATTTGGACAGTTCTACCAGGATGATGAAGGTTTCATCTTTACAGTGCTGAAAAAAATGCCAACAGTTATTTCATGAAAAGCTAATTACAGAAGCTTTCCTTGTAAAATTTTCTCTCAACTCTGAAAAAAATATTTCTGTTTCTGGAGAAGATCCAGACTCTCCCAAATCCCAGGCCTTCTTTGGCCTAAGATTCAGTTTTGCCTTTTGTAATGATGTAATGAGAGAATTAGAATCTAGTTTTGCATTTTATTGATGATATCCACATTTGGATATTTTATTCATGACCGCTTCTAATGTTTGATTCAGTTCTACTGTATCTTGCATCTTTCTGTAGCTGGTATTAATTCTGAACAAAAATTTCAGATAAAAAAAAATTTAGGAGAACAGTAACATACAGCACTTTTTTTATATTGAATTGTGCAGATGGGGAAAAAGGGAAGCAAACAGAAAAAGCCTCTAAAAGATCAAAACATTTCACTTGCACATTGCTGCTATTAAGTATTTTTATTATAAATAACTTCTAATTCTTCTATTTATTTTGATTTATTTTAAAATCTGTTTAAAAATATTCAAAACCTAAATGAAATTATCAGTTGACTTGAACTGGTTTTCTGTATTTCAACTTTGCAGAAATAAAATAAAATTTTGGATCTTATAAATGGAATTTTTTTTTCCAGAACTGTTAGTGTAATTTTTCAGACTTGTACCATTTAGCCCAATACCACATACTACAGTAACACGGCAAAAATTACACAACTCAGAAAGCTGGATTAATCACACTGAAGAATGTAGATTAAGCAAGTTCTTTAAAAAGGCAATGCTCTTCAGCAATTACTACATCACAGAACTGGAAATTCCCCAGAAAACACCATGTACTGTTGCATAACATCCTAATAGTTAACTGATGATTCTCATTTGAATGGCAGCATATGCTCTAGTAAGCATCTGGCTAAGCGAGAGGCAATTTAACATCTGTATGTCAAAGGAGGTAAGTTTCAAAAGCGTTGATTGAGATCACCTTTTCTTTCTATAAATGTATAAGGCTTTATGACCTAGTAATATCTGATTCCCACCTTAGAAAGGGTGTAAGTGCAGTCTCCATGGTGATCATAGCGTTTTTTATCATATGTGGAAATGTGTGAACCTCCCTCTAGTGAACATGTACTTGGGCATGACCTCTTCTGGCAGCTCCACTGGCCTCCATTACAAGTGCTGGAAGAGAGAGAATAAAGTTAGATGAAATCAGTAACAGTGGTCCAGAGTAAAAGGAACTACAGTGACATTAAGTTCAGCTATTTTGCTGCTGTTTTCCCCTTTAAGCTGTAATTTGACACACAGTAAATCTATGTTTAAGACTTTCCAAAACATTGTGAATGTGTGTAAAAGGAATTACTATGGTATGCATTCACTTTGTTTATTTATTTGATTTTCTTCTTTGAACAGGTGAACTCTCCAGCAGCAGGTATTGGATGAGTAATTACTTGGGTTTTGCAGCTAACATAAAACACAATGACAAATTAAAATCTCTTCTGTTTTGTTACACAAATGTATCAGAAACTAGCAGAAATATGTCCCCAGGTCTACTCCTGATGCAGAGCATATCTGTTTTCTAAGGATATGTGGTAGTGCACAGGTACAGGATTAATAATTGTGAAATTGAGGTTGTATTGTGTCATTGCTGGCTTTCTCCAGAGAAAAGAAATATTGACAAACATATAAATCACTGCAACTTCATTGGCCTTAGAGAATTACAAATGTTTGAACAAAATAAACAAAGAGGAATAATTTTAATTGACTGGTGAGTAATCTAAACATTGTAAATCCTTGCCTTGATCACCTTGAGTTGGAATGTAAAGCTAGTTAAGGCTGTTGCTAAATACAAGGGAAGTTCTTTAGGGATATTTTGGAACTGTAGTGCTCAGTTAAATACACATATCAATTACCAGTAATGCAATCGCATATAATAAGCCATTAAAATAATTAAATATATGAGAGGAAATAGTAAGTTAGAAAAGTAACAAAGGTTACCAGGTACGGCACTGCTCTGAAAAAGAAGTTCCGGTAGCGTAGGTGTTGCCATTGTAAACACAGGAGCACTGTTCATGGGGAATGCAGCCAGAATTGTTGATGTCATCAAATACAGTCCCTAGATTAAAAAAAAAAAAAAAAAAAAAAAAAGACAAAACCTTGATCAATTAAAGAGTCACTTCCTATACACCATTTTTGTGTGTTATGAATCCTAAATATCATCTTAGAGACAGATCTGCAGCTGTTGTGAATGGTCGTATCTAGGCTGAGGACAGTAGGACCGTGCCAATTTGCACAGTGAAGGATTCAACCTTTGTATTCTTAAATTCCACCTGCTTTGAAAGAGGGATTTAATGTAGCACAGGTGGCTCGTTGAGAGACTGGTCTTGATCTATTTGCTGTTCTGCTTTCCTGCTTTTTGAATCTTGCACAGGTATTGGCAATTACTTCAGATATCTTGTCTCAGCTGAGACACGACAAATGCTTGTCACTTGCAGCTGTGAAAAATGCAAATACAGGATGCCTAAACCTCATGGAACCTGCCCAGAGCCTGTGGGTGAGCTGCTATTCTTTGAGATTGGCAATGTGAGTATATAAGAACTTGCCTGAGGGGCAGAAACAACCGTCTATACAATGCTCCTCACAAAACCGAGATCCTTCAGAATTGGTGCATGTGTCAGCACAGGGGGAGCTGCACTCCTGGTACTGCATGTTGTAAGGACACTTCTTGGCTGAAATTTTAAAGGAGAAGAGATTATTTTTTCAGTCAAAAATATTTCTAGTTCACTCTATATGAAAGTATTTATGTTCATTTAAGTTTTTCAACTAGATGTAAAACCACACTAAACTGCAGATCCACCACCAGCTCTCAAAATTTGCAAATTAATCACTTAGATCCATATTTTACAGTTGAGATGTGTTTTCCACGACCGCCTGGAGCTGAACTGGCTCAATGACTGGACTTCTGGGGACATCAAGGTAATGACCCCACAAAGTTAGCAAGGCTTGTGTTTCTACCAAAGGCACCCTTCTCATGAACACTTGTATTGCTCATGAAATATAATCCTTAAGCTCCTAAAGCTTTAGTATATTTGCATTTTTCTGATACCATTGGAAGGGCAAATAGTACCTCATGGGTTTTTATTCTGGAGCAAATGCTGGAAATCCTGCTCTTTCTTTCTCCTTCCTGCTCTTTCTTTCTCCCTCCTGCTCTTTCTCACTTTGACTGTCAATTAGAATATCCATCTAAGTGTTTGAGAGTGTTTAATCTGGTTTGCATTAAACCCCTTAGCTCTTTTGCTGAAGTCTTCATGCTGGAACTTGTACATCAGAACCCTCTGGAGAATACAATCTTGAATGACCCATAATTTCTCATGCATCCTCAGCATCATTTGAGAGCTTGTTGTTTGTTAGTTACTGAGCATAAAGTAAGGCTATCTCCAGTGAAACTTACGGCACAGTTTCGAGGTTCTCCAGTTCTGAGGATGTCCGCCAGCATGAGCACACTGCCGGGAGTATTCAGCAAAGGTGTCACAGATACATGAGGCATTTTTAGACTCTTCAGAGTGGCACAAGTCATCTTGGCAAGCCGTAATGTATTCTCTAACTTCAACTAGATTATTACACTCTGCAAATGCAGAGCTGGTCAATGTTTTCTGGCATATGTCATCCTTGAGAGAAAAAAAAAAAATTAAACAACTTCAGAAAATAGAAAGGAGCAATTTTTTGGTACTGTTACTTTGCATAATTATTCTTTGATAGAATCTTACATCCCTCTTTAAGTTGCTGTCGCACGAGGGCTTTTCCTGTTGACCTGTCTGCAGCTGTGGAAGGGTACAGATAAATTTGAAAGAAAAATAAAAGAATAGTCAAAAGATCCTTACAAAATTATTGGTGCAATTATCTGGTGGGGTAGAAATGGAGTCTTCACAGTGTTCTGTTGGCCCATCCATTTTCTGCATACTCCCAAACTGCAAGGCTGTCAGCTTAATATCTGTACAAAATAAGTTTCATAAAGAAGGTTGTAGGGTTTTGCTCAAGGCCACTGCCTGTTATCTGTTTCTCCTCTCAACCATTCTGCTCAAGACTGGCCAAGGCAGCTAGTTCCCTTAAGTCTTTAAATTTGATCATCATCCCTTCCAAAGGAAGCACTATATCACTGTATCAATTTACCTTGCAGAGCACCCTGGAAAAAGTAAACATTAGAAAACAATTCTCAGCCTATTATATCTAGATGCAAACTAAGATCTTTACCAGAAAAATAACAAACTGTTTTCAGATTATATCGAGCCCATGCAGGGAAGAGAGAAAAGAATCTAAACAGGTATTTGGATAAGGGAGGCTGCTGTGAGAAGAGGTTTAGAAAAAAGCTCAAGCTGGGAATAGATAGAATGATGAAGACAAGATCTTATAAATATTGTGTAATTCATCAGGCAAATGTGGATATACCTATTTTAAGACAGAGCTGAAACAATAAATGTACTAGCTAGATAACACAATTATCTTTTGTTTTATTGAATTTATTTCTATATTTAATTATGTTATTAGTGAAAATCTGGCTCATTTTTATGGCGTTAGCTGGTTAGGTAAATAAAACCATGGCATACAAGAAATATGCAATCAGTTGTTAGCACCAGTACTACATTTATACTTAAAGTATTAAATCACATTATGTGATCTCTGTACTACATATTTTTCAACAGAGATTGAATCATATCTTCTGGGTAAATCATTTAACGGGATAGGAAAGAGGAACGCTGATGATGTTAGAGTTAAAAGGATACCAAAAAAGCATGTTGGAGACTCCAGAAAGCAATTTTTATTATTTAAAAAACTTACTGTTTGAATAGAACTCATTGTAAATCGGAAAGCCATTAAAGTCCCCACAAAGTCCACAGGTCTGATTGGCATATTTCTCATTCAATTCCAGCTAAAATGATGTAGAGTACATTGATAGAAATTAGTATAAACATTCTAAAATATATTCAAGACCACTGAAAGCACCTGCACCTGCTGTCTATTTCTGTCATCAGATCTGTGTAATTTTATTTAGCAATCTAATTCAAACCTGGGGGATAGAATGAAGAGTTCTCTTTGATTTGATTTATAATGCAGAGTCCAAGCTATTGATGCTATTGATGCAGACTTAAGTTTTCACTGTAATATCTATCTTGCTATCAGCCTCTTTCTGTCTATTCATTCTTCAGAAGGAAAATCAAATCCACAGTCAAAAATGAAGTCCTAAGAAAGTGAAATTCTTATAGAAGATTATATTTGAAGGGGTAAGTAGGTCCTATAACAATGTCAATATGTTAATGATATAATGAAAGTGATTTTTCACCCTATTTTAAGCAGATGTCTGCTATCGACTAGAAGTAAATCCATATTGTTCTCTTTAGGACTACTTGGATGCAAACCTATCTTTATTAAGAAAGAACTGCTCAACAGTATGAGATGTGAAGGCAATAGTAACCCCCTAAACAGAAAGGGACTGGCCTAGTCAAAGATTAGCTCTGGTCTCTGAAGGTGTAGACAAGTCCAGGAGCAGTTCTTACCAGGACACTGTCATCTTCATTCCACATTAGCACAATACCCATTTTGCTGGCAACTTTCACATAAATGCTGCTTTTCTCTATCATAATTCCAGATTGGATGTATGGCAGTTGAACTCTGGGAAAAGGCAGAAAGAATGCTAGGTATTTTCTGAGCCAGATGTTTGATAAAGAGAAAAAAATAGCTTGTGGTATCTAGCATCTGTAGGGATTCTAAAACAATGCAGTTGTGTGGAAAGAAAAGCAATTAAAAAATAAGATGGTCCAATGTAATCAAACATAGATCTGAATTTGGATCCAAATTCTCAGGATTTTTCATCCAAATTTTATTTTTGAGGTAATATTTAAAGGAAGGATTTATTTACTGTAAAAGGAATTAACATCAACTTATTCATTATTTAAGTTGGTAAGATTGTCAGATTTATTGAAGAATACATAAGTCTACCCATACACACACTCCCCCCAATACACCCAAGTACTTGGCAAGTTTGAGAAAAAGGTCTGTGGTTACCAAACAAGTGTCGTGAATAAGCTTACCTGTTGCTGTTGATCATGACAACATCCTTTGTCAGTTCAGCAGCTACGCCTTCAAGTTTCATGATGATACGGTTGATTGTTGGAGCATTTTCCACTACTGTGCGCCTAATCTGGATGTTGAAATCCTCATAGGGAGCATTGCAATGGGATGCAAAAACATAAGTACAGAGCCCAGGGAAGGAGAATATGTCTCCATCAAACGTCTTGAAGTGGAAGTTGCCCCATGTGCTGCACACCCGGCCATTGTGAGCAGGATTGGAAGCTGTGAATTAAAACTAGCTGTAAAAAAATTACTTAGAAATTCCAGCCTTAACATGGTGAAAATCAACTTGTCCAAGGCTTCGTTTTGTCATTGAATAGTTTTCACCTGCCTGCCTTCATTAATTTTCTGTCCATCTATCCATTATAAAACTGTATATTCATTCTTCACTCATATGTTACTCATCTTATATGTTACTCATATGTTACTCATCTTATATACCGTTATACATGGTTATAGTTATGTCCAGCTGGAGCTTTTTTATTTGTCCACATTTCAGCTAACAGTTCAACAGTATGTTTCTTAACCACCCTTTTTTTCCTCTTAATAATCCATGACTTCCTTTACCAGTATCTATCCCTATTTGTAGTAGATTCCTCTGTCTATATCCCCTAAAATTGAAAACTTGTTGAATACAGTTAATTTCCTTTACTTTACATTTGATTTCCTTTACTTACATGTTATTACTGGATTTGTCAGCATTGGCTGGATGATGTTCACCTTAGATGAAACTGTCGCAGGAGCTAGAAAAAAGTAAGAAAGAAAACAAGGATAACAATAATAGGATAACAATACCAAAATTTGCACCTAAAATTGACCTAGAAAGGACTAGGAAGTTAATACGCCAGATCCAATGAAACAATTTTAAGCCTGTATTGTTTTACGCCACAGATCGGGTTAAAAGTGTGTACTAAGATTCAAGATCAGGATAGTTAAATCATAATAAATTGCTTTCAACTGTGATGATCAGCACTTTCTGCCCTTTAATTTTGACCCTCTTATGAAACTCTGTACTCTGTTAGGAGAGGCAGAAATTCATGGCTTTGCATACTGGAGTGCTTCAGACACACTGAACAATACAAAGGGTAAAGCTGTACTAAATTAGCCTGTTGCTGGTACAAATGCATCATTGCCTTCTCATTACACCTCCTCTTTCTAAGGAGGGAATAAAAACTTCAATTATTCCTTTTGCTCTCTGTTTAGTATTTTTCTGTTACGGGCCCTTAGAAATGACCACAAATGCATTGTACAGGATGATCACAAACCATTTTTACATTATAAAAATCAGTGAAGCTAAGTTGCCATCTTGATTTCCCAGCATCAGCTGCTGACTTTACAGCTTGCCAAAGTGGTCTCATTTCCTTGTTTATAAGGAGCCAAACATCCTGCATGTATGTTCCACTTTGATTTTATATATTTAGGCACATATGCATACAGCCTCTACAAACGCCTGTTTTCTTAGCTACCTATTATTATACAGAATATAATGATATGCTGTGTGTTTAGCAACTAGTATCTAATAAAGGTATTACAATTCTTATACAGAGAGAGGCTTTTTAATACACATTGACATTACCAGCACTATGTAAGGAAGTTTTTTAGGCATTTTTATTATTTAGTAGAGATGTAGCAAAGAAATACAAATACACAGTATAAATGAACATACTGTTTTGTTTCTGCTGAACAACCCCAGGGTATTTTCTTTCTGTTTCCTGTTGGATTTCAGTCTGGGCTCCTGTGAAGAAATTGTAAAAAGCATGTTAAGTGCAATGTGCTGTATCTGAACTTTTAAAGCAAAGCATTTAGATAGGATCAAAGGACCCAGATACATCTCTGTAAGACAAAGGGGAGAGTCCTTTATCACATCAGAAAAAATGAAACAGCTCCCCCCAAAAGGTAAAACGTAATAATAGAAAGAGACTTTATATTACAAATGCACAGAGTTTGAAATCCAAATAATGTTTCATGTATATCTCCTTTGTTGTTTCCCTTAAAACTCACTACAAGGGATTCTAATGACTGGTTCACAGCCCTTATTTCACTGCTGCACTAATATGTGAAAAAATTACAGGAAGAATTCACTACATGTAAGGGAGTCATTTATTAAAATTGCTGTGTAGTATCTAGGTAATAACAAAAAAAGGCACAGAACTGGTTAAAAGAAACAAGAAACTTAGGGCTTGATCCAGTAATGGCTGCAGATATTTATATGCCAGTTTCTTTAGTGCCTATGCACAGGGCCTTTTCTTCTGGAGCAAATCTAAAGCCTCAGTCAGGGATCTAGGTTTGCTTTACAACTGGATGAAAGAAGGTACCTCTGAGTGATAATACAAGGGCCCATAACCTGACCAGTAACCCAGGAGAAGTAACTAAAAGAACCAGGTTTCCTGTTCTACCCATCTTCTTACTGTGAGATGGTTTAAACTCGCATCTCTGCAAAAAAGCTTACGCACCATTCTGTAAGTCTATTTGACCAAGGGTTTTTGCTACCCCCACCTGAAGCTGAGATGCTGCTGAAAACAGTGGGACAGTGACAAAGGAGGAAAAATTGGCCATGGTCATATGACCATGTGATTAGGGCACTCACCTACATCAAAACTATCCTATTCTTGTGCCTAGTTTGTACCTCCAGTTAAATGGATACTGGATCAGCTACATGAACTGTCTTCCAGACGAAGTCTCCTTCTCTCCATCATGATTCCCTAAGTTTTTTATTCCTTTCCATGCATGGCCCAGCAATACCATACCAGAGGAGGTATTGGCAAAGACTTTTGAGACGTGACAAATATTGACCTGAACAGTTTCATGCCTATAAAAAGACTGACCCTGGGCTCCTAGGTTGGTGCTCTAAATTCTTGTCTTTTGTAATTAAATATGGCAGGCATTTCCTGTAAAAGAAAAATGGCTACAGCTTTATTTTGTGAAGGACTGAAAGCTGTCAGCATGTGATAATCATGCTTGGAACATGTTGACTAACATGTACCTACAACCTGCCAAGTCTTAAATCCTCAAAGGATTTAGGTGATGAAATGACTAGTATCTTAATCCTGATCAGGATTATGTGAATGAGCACTCTAGGTGTCTATAGAGAATTTCTCAGTCAAAGAGGGACTGTCTATGTAATTTAGTCCTAAATTAAGCTCCCTTTTTTTTATACAATAGGTGGGAAGAGTTCAGAACTGGATCCATAACACCTATCTCACTGAACAGGGAGCTACATTGGTGGAGGAGGAGAAAATGCCAATTCAAGGGTGTGCCATAAACCCCAGCCCCCTTTGGTGCTTACATTCCTTGCTGAGCATTTCCTCCACTTAAGAACCTCAGCCCAGATACTTCTACGAAAGCTGGACAATTACCTTTGCCTTAAAAATAACTGGATCAGGAGCACCTTTTTTTTTCCAGTGTAACTTCTGGCTGTGCCCTCCATGTAAGCAGATTGAGGACTTGATACCAGAGCTGAAGGATGCCTGTTGGAAGGGATTCAAGTCCCCACTCCCAAAGAGGTCCCCAAGAGACTTCTGGCCTTGGAGGAGAGGGTTCTGGCCAGCCTCACCATATCTAGAAGCTGTTGCAGTGTCTCCAGTTTCTTTCAGACTTAAGCTTTTAATTCTTTTCTCATTTAACTTTATGAATAACCACTAGTGCCGTACAAAGAAGTAACGTAGGAGTTTAACTATTTTCCATTTCCTGTTAGTCTTTCAGTATCACAGATAGCATTCGGTAAATGCATTCCTATCATTATAATCGATACTGATCGGATGAGAAAAATTTATATTGATCAGGTGAGACAAATGCCTCTGTAAGTCTTAATAATAGGCCAGAATGTGCTCTCACCCGACATATCTATAGGAATCTCAGTAGGCGTAGAATCATAGATTGATTGTTTATTCTAGAATGAGAACCTTTGTAACAGGGCAAAATAGTATATACATGTATTTTGGTCTGTTAATTTTTCTCAAGGAAACAGCAGGCACTTTTGTTTGCTTAGTAAATACATCATTCCCAAGGAAATTCTAGCTGCATTGATTTATTTAGCAATTGCACAATGCCACACCGTTGCCCATTATAAAAACAAGTATCTCTCAATTGTAAAAAATAGTCAAGATAATTTACTATTTGATAATTTGAGAAGTGACCTAATAAGAATATTTCTGGATGCACCTTGCTAAGTCTATATCCAGCTGCCAATCCACATATGCAATTATTGTTACAATCAATTTATAAAAGTTAGTATTTGACCAAAATATTAAGCCAGGCACAGAATGTTTGTGGACATGACATGGGATTGGGCCAATATTCTTTAGTCACTCAGGACATCTGAAAATATTTTCCACAGAGTGTGATTCAAATAAAAAAGAGTTTTCTAGATACTGTTTAACCACTACTCCTTTTTCAAAGCAATTTATCAAGATTAGCATGGCACAGTACAAATAACTTCCTTGTTCAATGAATGGCTGAAGATGCTTTTGAATGTCACTGCATAATTCTAAACATAAGCTTATACTCTGTTTTATTTTGTCCTTAAATCAACTTGCCAGTATTTTAGTGTTTATTTCACAAACTATAGAGTAGCCTAAAATTATATTTGCATTTGTCAATATTTTGAAAATTATATGCAAGATAAATTTACATAGGCAATCTGAAGATTTCAGAATGTTAGCTGACAGGGCAGTAATTACTGTACATGAATGGGACTGAGTTAGTAAGCTTGTACTCATGCAAGTAATTTCAATTTGAGTGGTCCCATTGACTTAATAGGACTAGTCATATTAACAAAAACTGCCAAGACCAGCCCAGATGGAACTAATATTGACAGGAGAAAAAAACCCATATAAAATGATGGATTGCCTGTGTCAGGTGAATCTCCCAGTCCTCCTCACACTCAATATCAGTAATTTATATAAATATTTTGCATAGCGTATTATCAATGCACAATTATTGAAAGCCATTGTCACATTACAATTCCCTTCTTTTGCAAAAGAAGTTGCAAGAAATCTTGAGGAATGTGGTATTAGCTCCTGGTAGGTGACAAGGTACTAGAAAAGATTGACCAGTGGTCTGATCTGGCAACTGGAAAATGTTGTGGTTTAAATTTCATAAAAAAACACAACATCCATAATCAATCCTAATATAAAATGCAACAGGACTAAAATGCTATTGTAAGGCATAAGTGATACTGAAAAACTGACATTTTAAGACATGAATAAAGGTTCTTTTTGATTTGATCTTCAAGGCTAACTTCCAAATGTAGTTACATGCAGTAGTTTGAGTCAATATTAAATTAAATCATTCCAGTTAATAGACAGACATTAAATATTTAATGAAAAATGAAAAAAAAGATATAAAGAAATCTTTTTTAAATGCAACCATCTGCTAAGTGAAACAATAACATGAGTATAGTAGTTTAAAATATATTACTAGATCTAAGCAGAGTATTTTTTCTTTTCGCAATAGAAAAAATAACTTCTTACCTATCTGATGGATACAGCAAATTGCTAACAGGAAAGCCCATTTGGATACCCATATCCCCCTGCCAAACCCCATCTTGAGTGGAGTCTGACAGAAGGATGTCAGGTCTAAAGTTGGTCAGGAGGAGTAGTTCATCTGTGCTCTGTCAGTCTTATATAGTAGGTGACTTTGGCTTCAGTCCCAGATTGATTCAGACAATCTATAAAGGTGGGGTTTGGGGGATTTTAGCAAATGAGCAGGTAAATAGAGGATGCTCTTCCTTCCTCAGAAACTGGCCAATGGTATTTGCATTTTGGGAGGAGCATATACATATACGTACATACATTTTGTTAAGGTTCAGTCTAATAAAGAAACATAACATGATTGCAAACAACTCCTCCTCCACAAATAACAGGTCCTGGAACAAATTTAATTTGATGTTTCTTTTCAGTTATGCAGATGGCATGCCGGTTTTTCTAATTTTTTCAATATAATAACTAATGTCAGGCAGCTCCTTGGCAAAAAAACCTCACTGATCACTGAAGTCTGAGGAGGTGTGGAGTATTTCGTATATGGGGACCCAGCATTAGGAATTCACTCTGTGCCTCATGGGGCAGCTGATCTTATAAAAGGAAGAGACTAATAACCCTGAAGGGTCCTGCACTACCACATGATCACACTGAATGTAGGCTGTGGAAGCCTTTCTGTGTGGCACTGACAAGCATTAAGCACCTATCTGAGGAACATTAAGCCAACTTCAGCTAGACTGTATCCTACATTTATTAGAGATGGGCTTAAACCTTGAAATCTGCTTCTGAATTCTCTGCATAATCTGATTTTGCCTTCTTGTAGAAAATAGGAGTGATTTCAGAGAGTCAGACAACCTTACACCAGCTTTGTAGGTGGAAAAAAATGTTAGATTGATTATGGCCTGCAACCATGATCACATTGTTTCAGTATCATTCCTGTGCAATTCCGTTCACATCCATGGAGTTACGAGGACTACAAATTAGAGAAATGGGCAATGAATCAGGCCATTAAAAAGCTTGCCAGTAGATGTTTAATGTACTTTTATTTCTGAACATTGGCTTTTTGCAGTTCTACTGGATTATAATTTCAAAAGCATGATTGAATGTATGCTTCAATAAACACAGACACTTTTGCTACTTCATGTCACTTTATCTTAGCTTAGCATCTGATATAGGTAGGATGGGTTGCTCTGGGCAGATTTCTGTCTCTTTCCAAGGTTGAGAGACCTTACTTTAATATGGTAAAAGATGGACATAAATGTTTAAAGTTAGTGAAACCATTCTTTTACCAGCACTTGGTATACAGATAACATTTGCCCTCAGTTCATCTTCATCTTCAGCCTCCTGCCAGTTTACAAGAATTAAGGTAGCTGATGGGTCCAGAAGTCTTCATCATAAGAAATGGAATGAGAACTGCTGCTCAGTGGGAGATTTAGCAAGAGGCACCTGGGAGATATAATTGGCATGGGGGGAGCCACAGGAGGAGGAAAAAAAACCAGAAGTATGCTAGGGTGTGTAGAGATGTACAAAGGACTTCTTTTTTGCATAAAATGGGACAGTATTGTCTTCTGCATGTCTGGAAAGATTAATTTCAGCAGTCTCTACTCATGTTTGTCATTTCTGCTGAAGCAGAGGAAGGAGACATAGTTGGGAAGGTATGCTAATTGTAAAATGTGATCACAGCTGAATACCTGATTCCCTTGGGTTTGTATCAAAATCTTACCTCGCAATTATAAATTTAAAAATATTTCTGTAAAAGAACAAGACAGGGTAATACAATATTCCATTCAGGTATTATTGAACTGAATTGTGTCCTTTTTTTCAGTTTATTTCAGCTCAGCCCTTATTTCCACTTTTTTTTAGCACTAAATATCCTCACTCTTTTAGTATTATAAAATAACCACAAAAAAAAAAAAAAAAAAAAGAGTTCCTTTGTGAACCCTTACCTGGATTTGATTTTTTGACTAAAATAAGTGGTAGCTTACTATGGTGAGGTTGGGGTACTTAAGTCAACATATTAGTCTGCTATAGCATGAAACATGTTCCCTGTCAAAATATCCAGGATGTTTAATGAAGTTA